CCCCCCCCCCTTCCACTTTCAATTGGTATCAGAGCTAGTCTTACACTTTCTGCTTAACAACTTGTGAGAAAAGATCATGGAAAATCAAGTAATTATTGGAGCACTCTTTCAAGAAAGAACGTTGCAAGTCAGGCCACCATATTTCAATGGACAACACTTTTCTCACTGAAAAATGTGAATGGAAATTTATATAAAATCCTATGATGTCAAAGTATGGCGCGTTATCAAAAAGGAAAACTATCCACTACCAACAGCAGATCAACCACCCGCTGATCCTGAAGATATAGATGAATACACAGACGAGAAAATGGTGGTTGTTCAAGTTAATAATAAAGCACAAAACTTTCTCTATAATGCTATAAATGAAGAAGAGTATGAGAAAAGTTTAAGCTGTGATACAGCCAAAGAAATGTGGGACAAACTGGAAGTCCCTTATGAAGGAGCCAACAAAGTGAAAGAAACTCGAATAAATATGTTGGTTCATGATTATGAACTCTTCCAGATGAAAAAAGGAGAATCCATTGAGGAAATATTTTCAACATTCAGCAAAATTATTGGCGATCTAAAAGCCTTTGGTAAACCCTATTCACATAGTAATCCAATTCAAACAATTCTAAGGAGTTTACCTACCATTTGGTAGAGAAAAATAGTCGCACTCGAATCTCAAGATCTAAACAAACTTTCATATGGTGAACTACGAGGAGATCTTATAGCATTTGAGAAAACCCATCTCAAGAAAACAAATGAGGAAGAAAAGAAGAAAGTAGTTGCCTTCAAAACTACAACCGAAGGACCTGAAAATGATACTGATAGCGACCCAGAAGCTCTTGAAGAAGAAATTACCATGGTATCAAGAAACATGGATGGATTGATGAGAAGGTATATAAACACAAGAAGGGGAAGGATGCCATCCAGGCGAACCAGGAAATACAATGAATAAGACAAGAATGATGGAAAATGTTATGAGTGTGGAAGGTATGTGCATGTTCAAGCTGAATGCCCAGATCTTAAAAGAAAAGTATCCAAGGGATTCAATAAAAACAAATCCTTCAGAAGATGGAGTAATGAAGACAATTCAGAACACGAAGAAATAGCAAATATGTATTTCATGACCATCTTGGAAAACAACATGAACAAATACTCTAGTTGTTGGACTGATGAAGATGCATCAGACGATGAATGCAAGGAAGATACTGAGAATTGCTTCATGACACTAGGTGAAAGAAGCGAGGTAAGATCCTATAACTATGATAGATGTAATGAAATGCAGGATAGTCTTGACCTTACCTTGAAGGAGTCTCAAAGAATGTTGAATGAACTAAGGAGACTCAATATGGAAAAGAAGGACTGGGAACTTAAGCTTGAAGTCTGTGAAATCTAAAGAGATGTACTTCAAGATGAAGTTCAGGAATTGCAAATGCAACTTAATGGCATGTGCAAGTCCACCAGTCACAGTTCTGTCAAATCTAACCATGCGACTTACAAGTCAACTGGAAAAAGGACTGGCTAGAACTGAGTTCGCAAGTATTAACACAAGTTGGAGATCGAAAATTGGATCAACCCCTGTGCGTCATTACTGTAACAAAGTTGGTCATAAATACTCATTTTGTAGATTTCGTAAATCAAATATTTCAGGGTGGATTTGGAAATCCAAAAATAAACCTGATTCTAGTAAAACTGACCAACAAGGACCCAAGCAACTTGGGTACCTAAAAGAAGGTGATAATTTCTATTTTGCAGGAACACCATAGAAAGAATCACAAAGGAAAATGATATTTAGACTGTGCGTGTTCCAGTCACATGACGGGTGACAAAAATCTATTAAAAAAAGTCACAAAAATAAATGGAGGAAATGTCAAATTTGGAGATGATTCAAGAGAAAAGATAGTTGGTACTAGAACAGTTCCATTCAGCAATAATTGCGAAATTACAGAGGTATATCTAGTGGATGGACTCAATTACAATCTTCTAAGTATAAGTCAACTGTGTGATTCGGGGTACGAAGTTAAATTCAAGAAAACAGGATGTGCTATTGAAGACGAGGCAGGTAAGATTATTCTCCCTGGTAAAAAGTATGGAAACGTCGACATTCTTGATGGCATTGAAAATATAGATATCCATATTTGTTTAGCATCCGTATATGATAATCCATGGCTCTGGCATAAAAAACTTGGTCATACAAGCATGCATCTAATTGAAAAGCTCTCCAAGCATGATTTAGTTATTGGTCTTCCCAAGCTCATTGCTTCTAGAAATCATCTATGTGATGCATGTCAAATTGGTAAACAAACTAGAAACTCTTTCAAAATCAAGGACATTGTGTCTACTACCAAGCCTTTACAATCGCTTAATGTGGATATGTTTGGACCTACTAGAACTACCAGTATTGGAGGTAAATGATATACTTTTGTTATTGTTGATGATTACTCGTGTTTTATGTGGGTGATTTTCTTATCTCATAAAGATGAAGCATTGAAAAACTTTGAGATTTTCTGTAAAAGAATTGAACAAGAAAAGGGGCATCAAAAAACTTTGAGATTTTCTGTAAAATAATTGAACGAGAAAAAGGGGCATCTTATAGCAACTATTAAAAGTGATCACGGAGGAGAATTTGAAAGTAGAGCTTTTGAAGATTTCTGCAATGGTCAAGGATACACTTATAATTTCTCAGCACCTAGGTCACCACAGCAAAATGGAGTGGTTGAACATAAGAACAGAACTCTGCAAGATATGGCAAGAACCATGATACTAGAACATTCTCTCCCAAATTATTTATGGGCAGAAGCAGTTAGCACAGCTTGTCACATTCTCAACAAGTATTTAATTTGACCTATTTTGAAGAAGACTCCATATGAATTATGGAAAGGTAAGAAACCCAATATTGGATAGTTTCATCCTTTTGGAAGAAAATACTTTGTCCACAACAATGGCAAGGACAATCTTGGTAAGTTTGACCTAAGGAGTGATGAAGGTATATTTCTCCGCTACTCGAATAACAATAGATCTTTTAGAATTTATAATAAGCGTACCGTATGCGTAGATGAATCAATTCATGTTATTTTTGATGATAATAAGTCTATGGCCGAGAAAGGAGATTTTACAGGTGATGAAGAGATCAACAAAAATCAGCCAAAGATCAGTGAACAGAAGACTTCAATAGAGACTACTGACAATACGGCTGAAACCCCATAGTCGACTAATGAAGACATCAATGAGCATGATCAACTTCAGAATGAGTCGACTAATCAACGTATAAAGCAGTACCTAACGAGTGGAGAAGCGAACCAGAATACCCTCAGAAGTTCATCATTGGAAATCCAATTGATGGAATGAAAATAAGTGGATCTTTAAATAAAAAGGCCAACAACGGACTCATATCTCAAATAAAGCCAAAGAAAGTTGACGAAGCCTTGAAAGACTCAAGTTGGGTACAGGCCATGCAAGAAGAACTTGATCAATTTGATAAAAATCAAGTTTGGACATTGGTGCCCAAATCAGCAAATGCAACAATCATAGGAACCAAATGGGTATTCAGGAACAAACTGAATGAAGAAGGTAAAGTTATCCGAAACAAAGAACGGCTAATCGCTCAGGGTTACTCTCAATAGGAAGGAGTCGACTATGATGAAACCTTCGCTCTGGTAGCATGGTTAGAATCAATTCGTATCTTTTTAGCATATGATTCTTTTAAAGGATTTCAACTATTTCAAATGGATGTTAAAAATGTGTTTTTTAAATGGCTTCATTTATGAGGAGGCTTATGTTAAACAACCTCCTGGTTTTGAAAACTCACAGTTTTCTTATCACATGTTTAAGTTGACTAAGGCTCTCTATGGGCTAAAACAATCACCTAGAGCTTGGTATGAAAGACTAAGCTCATTTTTGGTTGGTCATAAATTTTCAAGAGGTAAGATTGACACCTCTTTTTATCAAAAGATCATCTTCTGTAAAGCTCATTATTCAAATTTAGGTTGATAATATTATATTTAGAAGTGCTAACCCTGTTTTATGCAAGAAATTTTCACATCTCATGAAAAATGAGTTTTAAAGGAGCATGATGGGAGAATTAACTTTCTTCCTTGGACTCCAAATTCATCAATCCGATGAAAGGATCTTTATTTGTCAGACAAAGTACACATATGAGCTAATACAAAAATTCAGAATGGACAATGCCAAGGCAATTGGGATTCCCATGAGTCCAGCTACATCTCTTGACAAAGATGAACAAGGAAAATCAATAGATGAATCAAAATATCGTGGAATGATTGGATCTCTACTCTATTTAACTGCTAGTCGTCCTAACATAATGTTTAGTGTATGGAGATGTGTCAGGTTCCAAGCAGCTCCAAAAGAGTCACATTTAATTACCATGAAGCGAATTATTAGAATCCTTATTAGAACTACTTCACATGGATTATGCTATCCATGCCTTAGCAATTTTTAGCTTGAAGATTTTTCAGATGCAGACCATGCTAGTGATAAAGATGGCAGGAAAAGTACAAGTGGAACTTGTCAATTGCTTGACAAATGACTTATTTCCTGGAACAATAAGAAACAGAGATCAATTGCACTGTATACAACTGAAGCTGAATAAATTGCCACTGGGTAATGTTATGCTCAACTAATTTGGATGACTAGTCAATTAACTGATTATGATCTTTCATTTTAGCCTGTTAAAATTTTATGTGATAATTCTAGTGCTATATGTCTTTCAAAATATCATGTGCATCATTCTAGAGCAAAGCATATAGATATCAAGTATCATTCCATTAGAGACCATGTTCTTAAGGGCGACATTGAATTATCTTTTGTTAACACGGAATATCAATTAGCTGATATTTTCACTAAGATTCTTCTAGAGGATAGTTTTAAAATCCTTAGAGATTTACTTGGCATTATTACCTTTTCCAAATAAGGCTTTAATTTCTGTTTTATCTGAAATATTGCGTATCAAAATAACTTTTGGTAAAAATCTTCTATTAATGTGTTACTTTATTATTACTTCCTGTTGCATTAATTATGCGCCTCTATTTTCAGCCCTTCTTTCTGCCTTTTTGGTTTACCGAGATGGAATCTAAATGAATCAGTCATGTCTATTGCCTTTCACTGATCCGTCAGTTATGTCTATTTAGTCACATCGCTTCACTCCTCTCTACACCTCTATAAGTCTACCTCTCCCCTAAACTTCTCTGCATACTCCCTTCAATCATCCTCTACAATGGCTAAAGCCTCAAAAAATCTTTCCGTTTCCGCTCGCAAAAGTAACTAGTCCAAAGCAAAAACCCCTTCTCAACCATCAGAGCCAGTCACTATTGTCTCTGACCACTTTGAGGGTTTCTCGTCTTCTCAAGAAATCATCTCTGAAAATGCTCGAGCAGAACATGTATTAGGAAAGCGACCCATGGAAGAAGGAGCAACAACGTACACTCCGAAGAAGGTAAAGATCGACCTGGACAGTGCACTGGAATCCGAACTAAACTATTGGGATTCTCCCAATAGAGATAAGTTCGTCTCCTTCAAATGTAAGACAATCGCTCATGGAAGGATCATCAACTTGGAAGAGATGGAGGCGCTAAATTGCAAGGTAATAGACTTCTTCACTTTTCAAGGTTGGTAAAGTTTCTTTGCCCTAACTCCTCCAAAGGTCTATGAAGACTTAGTTCATATGTTCTATGCAAATCTTCATTCCTAGAAATCTGATAAAATTGAGTCACTCATGCTAGGTTGGTGTATTATTTTCGACTATTCTACTTTTGATACCCTTTTAAGTGTAAAAGTGTTGGTTATTCTACTTTGTTTAAGAACTCTTGGCCTGATGAGTTTGAAGTGTCGTTTGAACAAACCAAAGAATGTCTTGTTGATTCCCTGTCTGATCCCCTGCCAAACCAATTAGGACCCAGTGACATCAATTTTGAAACTCGTATTCTTGCCCACATTGTGGCCAAAACTATTCTTCCCAGAACTGGTTCCTACACCACTCTGTCTCAAAGGGACACCTTTTTGGTCTACTGTCTTCTTACCAAGCACAAGGTGAAATTGTCTTCCTGGTAATAAATTTCATGATTGAATGTGTTGAAGATCCCTTAAGCTTACCATATAGGAAAGTCATTACTCACCTTCTCTAGTCCTTCAATATCCCTCTTTCCAAATGTCCCTATATATATATATATGTTTCCAAGAGCTATAACAATAGGGCATTTGTCGGTATGTGATATGTCGTTGTTGATGGTACTAGGGTAAAGAAGCAGGATGTTGAAGCCAAAGTGATCCCCTCTAGTTCCAAGGTAAAGGTTGATACCCCTCAGGCTGCCATCAATAATCTAGAGCTGCTTGAAACGATAACTGCACTTGATGACAAATTGACTGTCGTCAAAGAACTGA